CACTACAACTTTTGTTATCTATTTCCTCTGTGTTATGTACACAACAAAACAGTACAACTTGTGTTATCTATTTCCTCTGTGTTATGTACACAACAAAACAGTACAACTTGTGTTATCTTTTCCCTCTGTGTTATGTACACAACAAAACAGTACAACTTGTGTTATCTTTTCCCTCTGTGGTATGTACACAACAAAACAGTACAACGTGTGTTATCTTTTCCCTCTGTGTTATGTACACAACAAAACAGTACAACGTGTGTTATCTTTTCCCTCTGTGTTATGTACACAACAAAACAGTACAACTTGTGTTATCTTTTCCCTCTGTGTTATGTACACAACAAAACAGTACAACTTGTGTTATCTTTTCCCTCTGTGTTATGTACACAACAAAACAGTACAACTTGTGTTATCTTTTCCCTCTGTGTTATGTGCACAACAAAACAGTACAACTTGTGTTATCTTTTCCCTCTGTGTTATGTACACAACAAAACAGTACAACTTGTGTTATCTTTTCCCTCTGTGTTATGTACACAACAAAACAGTACAACTTGTGTTATCTTTTCCCTCTGTGTTATGTACACAACAAAACAGTACAACTTGTGTTATCTTTTCCCTCTGTGTTATGTACACAACAAAACAGTACAACTTGTGTTATCTTTTCCCTCTGTGTTATGTACACAACAAAACAGTACAACTTTTGTTATCTATTTCCTCTGTGTTATGTGCACAACAAAACAGTACAACTTTTTTTATCTATTTCCTCTGTGTTATGTACACAACAAAACACTACAACTTTTGTTATCTATTTCCTCTGTGTTATGTACACAACAAAACACTACAACTTGTGTTATCTTTTCCCTCTGTGTTATGTACACAACAAAACACTACAACTTTTGTTATCTATTTCCTCTGTGTTATGTACACAACAAAGCTGCTAACAATTCTGGGGTTGATACGAGCCTTCACAGCACCACCTATCTTCAGTACAACAGACAACACGGCACACAATGGTGAACTGGACCCCGAAGTAGATGATGCGATGGCTCTCAAACTAAGCGTCTCACTACCCTGAAGCTCGTCATAATATGGCGGTATAATATAAACAAGTGTGAAGAGAAAAAATAATGTTCTAATAGATTATTGGTTTATATAATTGTAAACTGTAGGAACTTTTCAAACAGCATTATAATTTAAGAATTGTTCAAATTTAAATTCAAACAAATGATGATTATTACGGTATTCTATAAGATTGCTGTATGATCGCTGTATGGTTGGGTTTCTTGGCCAGGGCTGCCCGCACTCCCAGGGGCGGGGGAAGCAGTGCCAGGAGGGTGCTGGAAGATTCAAAATTTCTCCCTAATTTTATGGTTTATATGTCAAAAGAATCATTAATTCTTTCAATGTTGTTTTTTTATTTTTTTTTTTTTTTTTTTTTTTTTTTTTTTTTTTGTAAAGCTTTGGTTAACTTCTCTAAAAAAAAAACCTTGCTTTTAAAAAAAATTAATAAAAGTTAAATAATTTTATTTAAAGAAACGTAAGATATTATAATCTCAAAAACAAATATTCTCAAACAGGGCACGCTTGTTTAAATCAAAATTGCCCTCTTAAACTTAAATACTAAATCACGCTAAGTGTATACATATTATTTTATTTTTTTTAAAATTGTATTGTTTTTACTATCGTTTGTTCACCGAAGAAGGCTCTTGCAAACACGTTCGTTGTTTTGCTGCGTCATTTTTTCCCAGGTTTTACCATTCTTTGTTTCGCTCATTTTCAAACATAATAATAAGCTATATAATGCAAATTTTAAAAAATAATCAGTTGACTGTTGTAACTCTCTAAATATAAATTGTTAAATTATTAATTAACTAAAACTATTTATCAACAGACAACAGCTGCCTCAGTGGGCCCTTAGTACTAAAAATATCGTAAACTCGGCCACACAATGATAAATGAAGAACTTGATGAATCGTAGGTTATCAAATTTATTGTAACTAACGGATTTTTCCAACAGCTGATCGTAGATGGTGCCTCAAAATTATTTAATAATTTCATCTAAATTTAAAACAAAGAGCTGCAGAATTTATTCGATTGTAATTGTAATGGGGAATCGTCAGGTGCTCCAAACGGTAAAAATATGCCGAGAACCTTTGAGATAATTAGATGCGCCCAGAGAATGCCACAATGGGGTGATGTTCCACTGTTCCACGGCAGATCGGGTGATCGTGGGAGTGAGCGAAGTGCCTCATGACGCGCTAGTCGATATCTTAAATGCCATTGGCTCAGACATGACGCCATCTGGGTTGCCAGGCAATTCACGTTATAGTCATGATTCGAGAATAAAATTTATGCTCATTATGAGGTTGTTGATCAACAAAAGAGATAAGGGACATTTTCGCGAACCTCGGGTCTCTTGCGTCATCGGCATTTAATTATTATTTTTTTTACTATGCAAGATTTCTAGCGAGCTTTTAATTGATGATGATAGCTTTCGAGAAAATACTAATGTGAATAAACAAAATTAAAACATAACATTTGCTTGTCAAATATTTTTTTTATATCTAATTCTAATATCCATTAAGAAATATAATCCGAGATTTCCACATTTAATGTCATTGAATAATTCCACCTGACAAATTATTTTTAAGAGGGGTTGCTAAGTGGAGCGCAGAGGAGGGCAGATGTCCTCGGACGCCAGAGTAGGCTCTGCGCTAAAATGGTTTTTAGTGGTATTGATGAAAATAATGGGTATCAGAGATATGAGGGGTGGGGGGGGTGGGTTTAAAAATAAATGACCACGGCCGCCAGCACTCACCCTGTGGTAATCCACCACTTCAACAAAACAAAGTCACCTTCCACTTCCACCTGACAAAGTTATCCAAAGTCATCCACCATTTCCACCTGATTAAGTTGTCCACCATTTTCACCTGACAAAGTCGTCCACCACTTGGACTTGACAAAGTTTCCCTGTCTTGCACCACTGCCTTCTCTCCTCTATCCCAGTCATCATTCTGTGTAGGCTATACATACAGGTACCGGTACATTCCTCTATCCCAGTCATCATTCTGTGTAGGCTATTCATACAGGTACCGGTACATTCCTCTATCCCAGTCATCATTCTGTGTAGGCTATTCATACAGGTACCGGTACATTCCTCTTATCCCAGTCATCATTCTGTGTAGGCTATTCATACAGGTACCGGTACATTCCTCTATCCCAGTCATCATTCTGTGTAGGCTACACATACAGGTACCGGTACATCCTTTTGTGTACGTTACTCAAATACAAAGTAATTTTTTCACTTACGATTTATTTTTATCTCATCGAGTCACCACCAGCGGTGCATGAGGCAGGGGCGCCCGGAGTCACCACCAGCGGTGTATGAGGCATGAACATTATATGATGAAATCTATTTTAGTCTGCGCCTCCCCTCCCCCCACACACACACTTCTAAATACTCCTTCTGTAAAAAAATTAAAGTAGGCCTAAATTTGTTTTTAAATTTCTAAAGATAGAGATTAAGGACTTGCTTTTGGTCAAGTTGAAGAGAACAAGACAATAAGATTATGTTTAGGTGATTTTAGGCAAAAAGTCACGACACAGTTAAGTACTAATCTTCTCAACCTGATACCCCCACCCCAAATGTGTTTTCCTTTTTTTCATTCAATATTTAAAAAAATAATAAAAAATTCTTTTACTTTCAAGTAGAAAAACTCATTTTTTTTAAAAACTCCTCAAATTAAACAAAGTGTTTTTCCCGCTGAGGTTATTTTTTTACATTTTTTTATTATATGAAAACAGTCATGAATGCATGGAATATGGGCCGGATGCATTTTTGGGCTGTAATTTTTGGTTCACTTCACATACTTAGCTATATGGCTTATTTTTATTATAAGCCTTTTTATACCCTCATTCTTAGGTTGCTCTGTCCGTTTGTTAATTTGTGTGTTTTCAAATCTTGCACCTCAATTTTTACCCTCTTCCTGATTTCCAATGGCGCTGAAACTTTGTACACTTAGCCCCCGCCGATGACAATACAAACCTTCATGATCAGTAGGTCACCAGTGACCTTCACTGACCCTTGAGTGACCTCTGCAGGATACATCTTGCATCTCAATTTCGAAGTTCTTCCTGATCTCCAGTTGAACTGAAACTTTTTACACTTACCCACCCCTTGATGACTATATAAAAATGTTTTTTGTTTAAAAACAGGTGTTTCCAATATATATATATCGGTAATGGTTTTGTCACTATGATTGAGGACGGAGAAGAAATCATGTGCACCGCAGGCTGTCGAGCGTTTTCGCGTGGTCTGGGGAAAAAATAGGGGGGGGGGGGCCTTAAAGAGCCCCCCTTCCAGAAAATGTTTGATAAATTCAAAATTCAAGGCTGCGATTTGACGGAAACATTAATTTAGTTTTGCAAAGTTCTACACTTCCTAGTCTAAGGAAATTAACAGCGGAGATACATACTTTTAAAACAAATAAATTTCCACAAGCGATTTCAATATTCATGAACAATGTGATATGCTATGGTCAGCGTGAGGCTCCTAAAGAAGCCTGAGGCCCTGGCCAACTGCCCATTGGGACCATGCCTTGCCTTAAGATGACACTTAAAGTACATGAATAAGAAGAGCATATGGTATACTTTGAACTAACTGGATCTTGTCCTCATTTTAACCTTGTCTACCATTCTGGTGCCTGCGTAACAAGGGCATAGCGACAAGCACTAACAACAACAAGATTATGAATGAAATAAGGACATCTATCATGAGAAAAATCATTATTATCAAAACCAACAGAGACCTGAACACGGTTTTTTATATAGTTATATAACGATCAACATTTAATACTTAAATTTGGCACCTTTTAACATTTCCCAAGTCCAAAAGTATTTTGTTAGCATATTTTTTTGCATTGGAAATCAATTTTCTCATTTGGGTGGTGTGCCGCATAAGTACGTCACGTGACCTCCGTAGCCGCATAAATTATAGTCGTACGATCAGATGTTTGTCATCGTGAACACACCACTCGCCGCTGTACTTTGGGAAGCCGGTAGTTGAGCCTGTGATTTTCTTTGGGATTAGGTATTTTTTTCAAATTGTAAAGGGAGTTGGACTATTTCAACTGAAGACAGACGTAATGTTACCCACTCTTCTATAATCAATCAAACATGCACGTACAATATGCTAGTATGTTTTATGAAAACATCTCTTTTTAGGATACCAACTGGTGAAATTCTCACACTGCACACGTGACTATTTCTTTAAACTTTAAACGTTCGACTTCGTAATTGGTGTAAAAGATTTAATATATGTGTCTCATCAAGATTGAAATTAAATTTTAATCAACTTATTTGTCAATACTTGAGGCCTAATGTCGGATCGAAAAATGCTGTTTAGACAAACAACTATGTTTGTTAAACTTTTTTTGGTAATCGTATTATATGTGGATTCTTCATTTGGGAATAACTCCTCAGATATCACAGGTAAGTTATATTTTTGTGAGTGTGAGCTCTGCCGTGGACTTAATTTAGTATAATAGAATTGTAATTTGTATGTTATAATAATAATACTGAATATAGCTATCCTGCAGGCCCTGGTGTAGTAGTCTATTAAAAAAATAGTTCGTTAACAGTATATGGTCACTACTCACATTGTCCCATCATTACTTAAACTTAATATTGGATTAGGATACGATTTTTTGAAAATAATATACATGCCTTTCAAACTGTACACACGATTTTTCAGATTTAGATTGTGGACCTTCTGAGTTCGCCTGTATTAGTAGTAATAAATGTGTAACTTTGTCTTGGAAATGTGATGGAGACCCTGATTGTCCTGATGGTGAAGACGAGAAAAACTGTTGTAAGTTTTCTTTTAATAAATTATTACCTTCTCCTACACTGACTACTACTAGTATTTGACTATTTCATGACTACTAATACTAAACTTTATCATGATTTCATCACTCAATTTTTTGGTAGATAGTAGACAGATAAGCATTTTCTGATTATCATACTGAATCATACCGGTTCTTGATTAGTTGTTTAAAGGGTCTTTGCGTTTTATTCTTGAATTCTGTTCGAGATGATTTTTCTTTGAATCGCAAGTTATATTGCGGTAATTTAAATAATATTTGTGTCTTCTTTAATTCTTAATTGAGTAAGAATAGGGAGGGAGGTCATTCAGGAAATAGAGACGTGCTTCCATTGGTTGAAGAATATCGCCTGAGTTTGTGACCTAATTTTTCAACCAATCGAAATGCGCTCAGATAAATTGTCGGTGTTACGTACACAGAGTCACGGATTTTTTTTTTTAAGGGGGCGGGGGTGCGAGTGGTAAATATGAATGCAATTTTGGTAAATGTTGAATATTCAAGGGGCTGGTTTGCTTAAAGAATCATCAGTTATTGATTTTGTGTGTGTTGATCAGTGATTGGTGATAAAGTCATTACAAAATCTAGAAGAAAAAAAATGCCAAACGTTTACAAAATTGGCAGAAAATGGTGAAGTTTCCATCAAACAAGTCCAAAGACGCTAAGCACTTAAAAAAACATGCATTCAAGTAGCGCACTTTAATCCCAATTATCAATTAGTACAATCAGTGTTAACCCATAAAAACCTAGAGTTACAACCTTACATACCCAGAGTCCAGAGAATTATTATCTGTGATAAAATAACCAAGGCCTACTATTTAAAATTTAGACTAGTAAAGCTGAAAGACTGATTTTTTTACTTGCTGCTACTTGTTTACTGAGCCATTTGATAAAGAGTATTACATTACCATTCTTTTAATTTTTACTTAACATGTTGCTCATACCACATAAGAACAAAGTAAAATAATTTGTCAAATAATTAATTTCACTAGCAGATAATACAATACGTAACAAGAGGGAAGTCCCCTTAATCACAAATTAGTTCAATTAGCGATGTCTGGAAAGTGTGTTTAATCCCTATAATATTACTAATGCACAGTTGACACAATCCAATTGTTTCAAATTTTTGCCATATTTCTTGTTGAATACACTATGCTGTAACAGGGTTTAGGTTTCAGGTTAGGTTAAGGGATACAATAGGACATAAGTTCGCGGGTCGCGGTAACCAAGGTAAAAAAAACTGAGCTTAACTAATGAGCAAAAGTTTTACAAATTTATAACCAGTTTACACAAAACATTGATTTCTCAAAAAATATTTTTATTACAGCAGCAACAACATGCACCCCTAATTTTTTCCGGTGCAATAATGGTCTTTGTATATCTGAACGATGGGTGTGTGATGGGCAGGATGACTGCAAGGATAACTCTGATGAAGCAACTGAAGTTTGTGCTGGTAAGTTTGTGAAAGCTGCATTATTTTGTCATGTATACGCTTTTCATCTAAATTTTTGTCCTTTGAAAGAAATTGTTTTTAATTTTAAAATATAAAAAAATAACTAATTATAACACAGCAATATTTACTACTGTTTACTAAAATTTCCATCAGAATTTCACTCGATTTAGTATTTAAAAAATGTGTGGGCCATAATTGTAAATTATCCAAACATATTTTTTTTCCAGAACGTAATACCTGTGTGAATAAGCACAAATGCTCAGGCACAAATATGTGCATTGACCCTTCATTGGTTTGTGATGGTCAGCCTGACTGCCCAGAAAAAGATGATGAAAAAGGTACAGATTTAGGATCAATGAACACATTATCCTCTAAGTCATAAAAAAGTTTAAATTTATTTTTCCATGAAGTAAAGAAACATAAAGTTTAAGTTGTCGTTGTGATGAAATAATTGTTGAAAACGTGTATGATAATTATTTTTTTTTGGATTGGGTGCTGTCGTGGTGGAAAAAAATGAAAAAAAAAAAGAGAAAAAAAGCAAAATTTTTCCTTAAGTACCTAAACAACTACAATGTTGGGATATTGTTCATCCAATGCACACACAATTTTAAATGGCTTTTCAGACTAACAATTTTTTCATACTTTAAAAAATGTATTTTCAGATTGCTCAAATCTTGGTTGTGATAAAGAAACTGAATTTAAATGTCATGATAACAATGGCCCTTGCATTTCTTCACGTTGGCATTGTGACGGCTCAGATGACTGCGAGGATGGGTCAGATGAAAAGAATTGCAGTAAGTAGAATATGTTTATGTACTGTTTTCAATGTTTGTTTTAAGTTGATAAATTTATTGCCCTGAAGCAGTTGAGAAAGTTACTAAATTATTAATACTTTCACCTATGTAAATTAATAAAATAATTTCAAAACAAAGATAATTGTGCTTATCAGCTATTCACATCATATAACAACAAATTGGATTTGTTTTTACAGCTAGAAAAGAGTAAAATTGCTTTTTGCTGGGGGGGGGTGCCAATTCTTTAAAAAAAAATGCTCAAAACATTTCATTTTACAGCATCCCAATGTGAGAAAGGTTTTAAGACTTGTGCTGATGGTGAATGCATAAACGATCTCTGGTGGTGCGATGGTGACGCTGATTGTGCCGATAAATCGGATGAAGCAAAGTGTGCTGAATTGGCAGTGAATCAAAATTGCTCAGAAACTGAATTCCAGTGTCAGGGAATGTCTATGGTTGTGCAATGTGTTCATATGAACTGGGTGTGTGACGGCGATTCCGACTGTCTTGATGAATCGGATGAAAAAGATTGTGAGTAATTGTCACTCATGTAATTGTTACAGAAATAAACAACAATCCTAAATTATATTTTACGAAAGACTATATAGCAATTCAGGAAAATATTTCTGCGTCATTTCTACAAAATATTTGTACAGGATATTTATTTTTAAACTGTATGAACTAAAAACTAATTACATAAGTGGATGCAATTATTATTAAAATGAATTTACGAAAACGCCTCATCTTGGAAGGTAATATTTTGATTTTTTTTCAGCCATTTTTAAACTTATTTATATTTTCTTTTGTTTGTTCAGGTAAACCACATACATGTAACCCGAATGAGATTATTTGTGACAAAAATTTCTGCATCAGTGAACTTTATGTATGCGATGGTGATAAAGATTGTGAGGACGGAACTGATGAGTTTAATTGTACAGGCAAGTACACATCAGCAGATTAAGTAATTTACCCTTTTGTTCATGTGCCTACAGTATTAATAATATTTTATGCAGAATTATAAATAACATTGTATAGAAATACATTTTAACTTAATATCTTCAGGTGGTGTCATTTAATGATTGGGGGATTACCAATTTGAAGAACAAATCAAATCAGCCTTTTTTAGTAGAATAAAATAACATTCTAAAGAATATGTATGTAGCTTAAAAAATATATAGGGAGTACTTGATATATTCCTCTTACAAATTTGTAATAGAAATGTAAATTGCTATTTTATCTGATCTTTAGTTTCCTGTGATGTGGACAGTTTTGATTGTGGTAATCAGACATGCATCCCCAAAACCCAACTTTGTGATGGTTTTGATCACTGCATTGATGGTGCAGATGAATCCCCATTGCATTGTTCTTCTCAAGTTTCTTCTCAAACTTGTAAGTAAATATTGCAGGAAATTTGTCTAGTTTACCACATTAGTCTACAACTATATTGAATTTCCCATGTGCACAGTTACTAAATTCAATTAAGTTTTTAATCACTATCAAACCTAAACTTTTTGTTTTGCAGCATGTGAACACAATAATGGTGGCTGTATGCATTTGTGCAAACCAAATATTAATAGCACAGGCAGGACATGTGAGTGCCGTCCAGGGTATCAGTTAGCCAACCATTCTAATACAGATTGCCAGGATATAAACGAATGTGAGACACCTGGCACATGCTCACAGAAATGTGTCAACACTAAAGGATCTTACAAATGTGACTGTGAACCAGGTTACACATTAATTGTACCTCGTTACTGCAAAGCTATTGAAGGTAAGAATGATCGGCTGTTTAAATATTGAGCTCTACGGTCATTGTAAATATGTGCAGAATAAATGTAAATCCACAAGCACCTATCCCATTACAAATTGCAAGTGAAGATGATGCTAATATCCTAATCAACATGCTGTGTCGAAAACTTTATTAGAAGTTTACAAAGTTAAGTTACATCTATTTCTCAAGCTTGTACTATAGTGCCAATAGGAAAAAGCAGAATTTCGATTCTGTTAAAAATAAAAGAACTCGCATTGTTTCTGAATAGAATTTATCACATCCCTCAACACTTGAGATATTTTTACCAAATATTATGATAATAAACACCCCCACCCCCCAAATTGATTTACATTTTTTAAAATAAAAACCTACACAGTCAAATTTTAATTCTTAGTTACAAATTTATTAATTTTACAAAATATAATAAATTCACATAAAAATGTCCTCATTCCGAATTTTTAAGTTTGTAGATTTGCCATAATAAAATGTAGGTGTCTTCTGCAAATCAGTGTGGCCATTCATATTAAGTTGTATTACAAACATTCACTGCTGATTTTGCATTTTAAGTGGAAAATCACAAATGAATGGCAATATGGGACTGACAAATTTATATTGCTAGTTAAGTTTAAACTTTCTTCTAAATTGATTTATTCAAAACAGGAAAACATGCTGTACTTATCTTGTCCGATAGTCATGAACTTCGTCGTTACAGTTTGGATGAGTTCCGTTATTCCAAGCTTCTTGAAAATCCTGTGCAAAGGGCTGTTGCAATGGATTTTAATATCAGGGAACATAAAGTTTATTGGACAGATCTCCAGCATAAACAAGTTTCTGTGTAAGTTTCTTAATAGTCTACTTTTAATGTGATAAATCGTTTCATGCTTCAACAACATTTAGCTGTGGTTGATTTTTTCGAACACTCTGAATTTTATAAAATATAACATATGAAATTGGGGAATATCTAAAAACCAAACTACAAACATTTCACTAAAAAGTCAACAAACCAAGGTATAATCTGAAGATCAGAAACTCTGATGAGAAAGAAAGCATCTTCAGTCTGGGACCCATTCACCCAGAAGGGCATCGACAGGCTGGAGGCAGTCCAACGGCGAGCAGCACGCTTTATTCTGAACCATACAAGAACACCTCCAGTGTTTGGTAGCATGCTGGAAGCACTGGGGTGGTAACCATTGGAGGAAAGAAGATTATCCAGAAATATCCTCTTCAATACCAAGCACTGATACATTGCAAATCCCTCTACATTCATTGATCTCGGGACCTTAATATTATAGAAGAAGAAGGAGGATATAAAGATAACCTCAGCTAATTGAACTTGGAAGTCATAGTAAACAGGAAATAACATTGAACAGCATGTAGAACTGACCCAAGATATCAAACAGTTTAATATGATTTTCTTATGCTTTATGATTTACTTTGACTTCCAACAGTGTGTATTCTCCCCAATTTACGCTGTATTTATAAGCTGCTGATTCTAAGTAGATTATATATTTAATAAAAAAATATTATTATAGATTTCATCATTTTTATTTCATAGGGCTGGTGTAAATGATGTCAATCATATGAAAGTGATAGTTAATGAAAGCATTGTCAAGCATCCAATGAAAGTGATAGTTAATGAAAGCATTGATATGCCGGATGGCCTTGCTGTTGATTGGGTGCATGGTAATTTGTACCTTTCCGACACTGGACTGGACAAAATAGAAGTTTTACGTTTGAATGGCAGTCATCGGAAAATTTTGGTTAATACAGATCTTGATGAACCCAGGGCATTAGTTTTGGATCCACAATACGGGTAAGACTGCTTAACTTATGTTGCTTATTTTATTGTTGCTTGACTTATTGTTGCTTGACTTATTGTTGCTTAACTTATTGTCAGTTAATATGGAGTAAAAATTTGGAATAGTTACCAATCAAATTTGCTTCTGGAAAGTGATAAAGAAATTCAATTGGGTGTTTATTATAATTTTTTTAGATGGATTTACTGGTCAGATTGGGGTGTCCAACCAAAGATTGAGAAGTGCGGGATGAATGGCCAAAATAGGAAATCCATTATCACCAAACATATCGCATGGCCTAACGGTTTGACAATCGGTAAGTTAACACTCTGATATAATTCCTCTTGCACTGGAAATTTACTAAGGAGGCCAGTATATTAGTGAATAATTTTTCTGTCATGTTGGTGTCTCAAAAAAAATTTCAAAAACTTGTCATAATCATGAATGAAAAGGTATATCTTAAATTGTTTTATCTTGGAATGCCACTATCAATTATTGCAGCATTCTCTATGCCAGCATTCCCAGTGGTCAGCGCTAGTCCGGGAGCCTTATGTTGCCCGTCTGAACGACATGAAAATTTATGTTCAATTAAAAGAAAATAAATCTGTCCCTAGTGCAGCTTCGAAACTTGTCCACTGGTCCGCCAAAATTAAAAGATTGGGAGATGCTGCTTTGGGCCATGCCATTGTTAAAACTCTTCACCAAGAATAAAATTGGTATGGTAAACATAGATTGTATATTAAACGTAGATCACTTTTTCTCACAGATTACATTCAGAGACGCCTTTATTGGGTTGATGCAAAGCTGCACACAATTGGAAGCAGTGACCTTGATGGCAATAACTATAAGTTGATACTGAAGAATCATGGCTACCTTGGCCATCCATTTGGCATAACTGTCTTTGAAGACTACCTCTACTGGACTGACTGGATGACCAATGGTGTTTTCAAATACAGTAAATTTAGTCAGGGCAATGTGACCCACGTAGTCATGAAGCTGAAGACTCCAATGTGTATTCATGCTTATCACGTCGTAAGACAGCCCTCTCGTAAGTCAATTAATATTTTAACATTCTTAAGAATTGAACAATCCGACCTCCAGTAAAAACTAACAATAAGGCTAATGTTTTTCTTCTTTATGTTTTTTGTGTCTGCTCACATATTATTGAATATTATAAAGCACTGATCATATTGACAGTTTTATTTTATAAATATTTTTAACAATAACTTTTTAAGTTTAATGGAAAATTTAAAGATTAAACACAGTAAAACCTCTGTTATGCGACCCTCTCTTAAACAACTTCCTCCAATATATGACCGGTAAAAATTCACCAATGCTTTGTACTATATAAACGACCTCTCTTAAACCACTCCCTCTAAAACGTGATTTTAAACAACTACCATACCAGCATTGATTTTTATTTTGGAATTTATGAGGAACAGGAAGATAGTGACTGTATTGAGACAGAGTTTAATCTATATTTCTGAATGAAAGATGGTAGATATTGACTATATTTAATGGTAGGCCTACGTGTATTTTTTTTTTTACTTGTTTAATTAATTTTTTAAATGCCGTTTTTCGAAAATGTCCTGCCTCTTTTTTAAGACCCTCCTCCAATTTACGACCTCGTTTGAATGACAATTTAAAGGTCGTAAAACTGAGGTTTTACTGTATTAAGTTGGCATCTGATTTTACACCGAGAACAATATCCTTGACCAGATGTTTAAAGCTATGAAGATAATTATTATTATTATTATTGCTTTAGTTACTATCATTGTATTCTTTTTTTTCAGCTATGAATCACTGTGGTGACAATAATGGTGGCTGTAGCCACCTATGTCTCCCCAAGCCCCATGAAGGAGTTGTAGCACCCACTACTCCAAACTATGAATGTGCTTGTCCTGATGGAATGAAATTCGGAGAAGGGGAGGAAAAGCACCACTGTGTTCCATGTAAGTGTAATCAAAATTGTTTGCTTTGCCATGTGTTCAATCCACTGCCATCATTTTCTTGTTTTTGTCTGCTCATTCCTTTGACAGAACAGTCCTCATGTGCCATATGGAGGGAAAAACAACACACTATTAATAAGCACTATTCTGATAAGATTTCATCTATTTCTACTTCAGCTATATCAACTCCCCTAGCTGCAAGTCTACATGTCTGAAACTTCTTAGTTAACTTCTCCAATTAATAGTTAAAGTTGAAGGAGATTAAAAAAAAATTCAAATCCTTGACATTTTTAACTGAGAATCCCTAAGAGAGAGCAAAACAATTTTTTAAAAAACATTTTTGAGTTGCGTGTGAATAAAAAAAATGTCACAACTTTGAAATAAAGAAGACATTGAGAAAAACTTGCTATGGCATGAAAATAGTTTATATTTAAATATTTCTCCACATTGATAGATTTTCATCTGTGCTGTGTTCAATAATGCTAGCTCTATTACTATTTCATACTTGTTTTCAAATTATTTGTACAAAATAATTTTGCTTCTTGATAGTCATGAATGTTCATTTCTAATAGGGGAATTACATGTTTTAAAGAGAAGAGTGGGAACCATGACAATGTTCTATTTGATAAATACTAATTTTTTAAGTTATAGTAAAGAATAGTGTGACGGTATAAAACCAAAAAGATAATACAATGCAGCAAAAATATACATATTTTGTGTATTCTGGTAATACTTTTTATGTCAGGGTGACTCTAAGCTAACGGAATGTGTTTGAAGAATGGTACATCATTCCTATAAATCTTTTTGTTTCAGCACATGAGGTGGTAACAAATAAAATCCCAACAGATCAAGGGAAAGACATGTCCAATCCAAACCGTTTGCCATACACAATACAGACTCCACCAGAAACACAAACAACAACAAAGTCCTCTTCAAGTCAAGAGACTCAAACAAATTTCAACCAGGGTGAAACAACAGATGGGGTGATCCCTGCGTTAAATGGCACAAATAGTCAGTTGGCACACAAAGAATCTGAAGGAAATGGCAGTGTTGCAATAATTGTCATCGTTATCGTGTTTGTGCTAGGTGTTACTGTCGCTATTGTGAGTATAAAGTTTATATCTAAAATTTTAATAATGATCTAGTGAAGGGTATTAGAAATCTAAGACATAGTTTTTAACATTTTATTAAAAATCAGCCATAGTTAAAATTAATACAGATCTTTTACTAGTCATACAAACTGTAATTATAAAAATAAACAAAGGCACCTTGTAACCATCTTTGGTTTATTTTAATAAAGTAAACATGTCTAAACGTCATGGTTTTAACGTAAAAAACCTTTTCTCTTTCTCCCATCCCCCTCTCCCACTCATCCTTTAAAAAAAATTAAATTCTCTTTTTATCTTTAATAATATCACCACTCGATTTAGTAATTACATTCAAATCAACAAATTCAAGCGATGCTGCAAACAAAACTTCAACCGTGTAGTTAATAGAGTACATTAGGATTATCATTTGTATTGTAAATTAATTTATAATTGAAATTATAAGTATTCTTTTAACTACAGGGTTATTGTGATACCTGGTGGCAAACTATAACCTTGGTTAAAATTAATAATTAATAAAAATAAATTATTTCTTTAAAAAAATATGTCATATTTATTAATTTTCCTGTTATTTCTACCCAGATTGTTGCATTGCTGATAAGAAGACATAAGAGGAAAAATGTCAAATCCATGAATTTTGATAATCCAGTATATCGCAAAACAACCACTGATGACCAGTTGATTATGGAGAAAAATGGATCTAGATCGAGTCTGCCATCAGTAAGTTCATTTTTTAGAAATTTTAAAGAAAATAGAGAAATGCAAATCATATAGAATTGATTCAAATTTAGACTTTTTCTTCCATTCATCTTAAGTAGATGGGACTGAACAAAGCTATCTTAAAGTAATGCATAAACTCAAATATTTTATTAACACACTTAAACTTTATAAACTTGGTGTTTTCTAGTTTATTATTATTTTTTTTTACAGATTCTAAAGCCATTGACACAGGATGTGGAAATTGTATGATAGTTCAAGCCAAATAATTCATCTCAGCATTTCAAACTCAAATATTTTACAAACAAGAGCTTAAACACTCTTTCATCTGTTAAAAACAAAAGGGTATTAAAACTTGTCTTCACTAACTAATAAACTGACAAACAATCACTGATGCAAAGCCAGCATACTACTTCAAAGAGCAGGCCCAAGATGACACACTTCATGTGCTTAACAAAATGATCTTGCAGTACACCGAATTGCCACCCAGATCAATAACTTATTATTGTGATCAAATTGAAGTCAGAGATGGGAATATTAGCAAATGCTATTCAAGGATGCCACTGGAACCTTTAAGTGGCTCTATTAATTCACAGTACTTTTCAACTCCGAAAAGTTGGGAGGATTGCTGAAGGACTCAGCTCAATAATACTGCAACCTGACAGGCCTTTCTAAAAATCATATTGTGTAACAGTTGCTGTTGAAGTGCTCAAGTCACTCAGTGTATTGCAGTATTGTGCCTTTAAATTATCAAAGGAATCAAAGTTCAATCATTTTTAAATCGGTAGTAGACAGTAGTTAAAAAGGACATGATTTTTGTTTCTGCCATTAGATTTCCCTACATGATTAGTCAAAGACGGTATGTGCCCTTTCTGACTTCATTTTCAGGACCTTCTCCTCGAATCCATGTAGCAGTCCGGAGAATCTCTTTCAATGATGGACTGCTGCATAATAAGACTGAGATGCTTTATTGTTGGAGCATGAACTTGAACGAAATAATACTTTTTTCTTTTTTTAAAAAATGTGTGGTTCAATTTATTTTTCCTTCTGATTATTGCCTGGGTGTTTAAAGCACCAAGGTTTTTGGTGATATTGTGAATACATTGGATGGTGAATTGTTTATGATAGGTTGAACTGCAGGCTGTGATCTTGTGTAATCATTAGATTTATTTAGTCCTTTTTATTTTATATCTTTGAATCTTCTGTTAGCTGCAAATATATCTGATGAAATGTGACTGATACAAAAATATATTTAAAAAAACAAGCCATACAACTCTTTTACTTGGTAAATATTTATTTTACATCATTTAGTTTTTTTTAACAGGCCTTAAATTATAAGTACTCCATTTGCATCAATAACTCACCTTCATAATTTTGGGGAAAAGGAGGAGCCATCTCTATTATATAAATTGATAAGATTTGTTTTACCTCATTGGACAAATATGCAATTCATGCAAAGGTTTACTACTATGTAATGCACCAATTTTGTCTGAATTGATAACCTGTTAGTTTGATGCATTATATGATCTAGCTTGAAGGTTAACATGCACTGGTATTAAACAAGATAGTGCCTTCATGCTCACAGTTTTTTTTTTTTTTACAAGATGTAATTCAGGTATGAGATTTTTATTAATTCAATTCACATTTTCATCAGCTTTATTGTAAGAATATCGTTTGTAGTAATCTTATGTAGAATTGAGTACTGGGTACTTTTGATTTCAAACACTCAAAAACAGTAGTTTGAGTCTACATCAATGTCAACATTGCTTATCAGAATTCATTTTCTATATAATTTTAAGTGCGTGTAAACATTTCTTTATTTTCTATATAATAAGTAAATTAGGTGAACTTCCTTTTTTTTCCCCCCATTATTTTCATCAATGCATTCCAAATAATCCCTTTTGACCCACTTAATTATTGTGCCCTACAAATATATCTAATAGCTGCTACATTGTAACTGAACAGTTACTATACAAATTCCATCATGTTCTATCCATCCCTTGCTCTTTTCCCCTCATATATTAAGAAATTTACCATCTGTATATGAAATAGTTACTTCCAATATTCTCAGAACTAAGTAAATTATAGTTTGTTTCATGGGGGGGGGGGCACTTTAAAAAGAAAATGCCTTAGTTTCAATTTACTAAAGTGATCTGACTATAAAATGATAATGCATTTTATTTTTATGTTTATAATAATTTAATCCCTTTAATGTGCACATATTTTGCCACTAAGTCCCTATCATTTTTTTAAAGAGTTGATGAATTTCATGGTCCGGTGCAATTTGTCATGGCATGAATCACACTCATTTAAAAAGTTGGGTCAAACTAAAAAGGCTTAACATTGCATTAAAATTTCATCTTGAATTCTAATGGATAGTGCCAAATGTTCTCCACTTATTAAACTGGCAGGTGTATACACTGTATTGGTAAAACAAGATTTTTATGTGTAATTTACCTCTGGAAAATAACTAGAATATTAATCAGCTTTGCCATTATTTAAATTACGTGTGGATTTGTTTTGGATGGCTCGTTAGCAAATTATAATTTTGTAAATACATGTAAAATTTACCTGCCCAAAAATGCCAATCCTTGTAACATATCATCTATGCTCTAGCTAATGCTTTAAAACTGATCTTTTCATGAAATTTCTTTAAAATGTGTAATACGCTAGGATTTCTTTTTTTTTTTAAATTCTGTTATTAATGGATTTACATTTGTACTATTTCAACATCTAACATCTCTACTTGTTATGCATTCCTAAAATAATTAACAACTTTTTGAAGCTTTAACAAAGTTAAGTTCTATTTTTCTAACCTGTTTGATATGTTAATTTCTATTAAAATCTATTGAGATCTGTTGACTGTGTTTTAAAAAAAACAAAGAAATTAAGTTTATCATTATTTATTTTATTCAGTGGAATCTCTTAAAAGGATGAATTATACTCAAAGATGAAGATGATTATGCCCGAGGATGAATGTAATTTATTTGTGTGCTAATTGTTGCTAACGCTTAAAGAACTGGTTCTTATATAATTGTCTCTACCTTTGACAGTTTGTTACAATGCTTTGAGCTTATCTATCAAATGAAATTATTTCATCAAATTTTTTTGCTGTTGAAATTGTATTGCTTGAATAACTGTACAAATTGTATAAACAGGTTTAAATTACAAATTATAAAAACAAATTAGTAACCCAGCTTGTATTTTAAAAGAAACTGGTGCATTCCTCAGAAATACCCATTTTTCAAAAGATTTGTGCAAAAGTGTCTGACTGTCTGCAAGTTAAATATGTTTCTCCAAACTGTCAATGGATACTTATGAATAAAATTCATGTTTAATGTAATTTATTGTAAAAAAATTTTTTTTAGTAATCTCATGTTGATTGTACATTTTTTATTGAAACATTTCTTGTTACTTTCATCTATTTATTGAAATATGTTTTGTTTATGATGCCATGTGTTGCTAATTACTGGGAAGTGTTATATGGATCAGTGAGAAAAGTGATGATTTACTACATGGATCAGTGAGAAAGGTATTGATATTATATTAGACCTTTGAGTGAGAAAGTTACAAAGATTAATTAGAAAAGATGACTGAGAAAGGCAAAGAGTGACAATTACTTTTAGATAGATCATTGAGAAGTGTTCAGTTGGATGATGATTTTTTTTTAAAGCATCTTCTTGACAATGTCTGTGTTTGAATGGAAACAAAGAAGAATGTTATCCAGGCTGAGTTAAGAAAATGTTTAGCAGTGTTTTTGTTTTTTTTTGGTTCTTGAAAGTAATGTTTGCTTAATTTAAATGAATAAAGTATGTTAACAAATATTGGTCACCTCTCATCTTCATTTTTGTGAAAACTTGTTAACTAGTAGTTAAACTTTTACTCTTTGTTTACAATCTATTCATGGAATTTAAGATATTCCATTATAATTTTCAATAATTAATTTTAAAAAATCTTTTATGGATTTCCAATTTAATTGTTGAAACATAAGAATAAACTCCAAGTGGTCAAATAGCTTGATATATTTTATTTTAAAATGAGCAGCAGCACAATTCTCTTTTTAAAAAGATAATTCCAGTTACACAAAAACTTTGTTCAGATTATTGCATACATAAGGGCACTGAAAATCAAAAAAGTTTTGGAACCACTGGTCGACATCATTTTTTTTTGTTTGATATTTAAAAGGATAATTGAATTGCAAAAAAAAAAAAAACACTACAAAAGCCAGTTTAACTCAGTTACAATTTTCTAAGTTATTTTGTATGCCTTGTCATAAATCAAGGAAATGGTTAAAAACTGAAGTTTTATTTTTTATGTGTAAAAGCTTTTATCCTTAATAAAGTTATATAATTTGGTGATTTCCTTCAATGCTAGATCTCTCTTAGTGCCTTTTCATTGCTCCTATTAGTAACCAAAAATTACTGGCTAAAGGAAGTTAGAGCTACAACTTTGCTGGCCTGAAAAAAGTACTAATGGGGTCAAGTCAAGAGAAACAATATTTCACTTATGAGATTCAATGGGTGGGTTGATACACAGTAAAATCTCCATAACAGCATCTACAAAATGCATGAAAAATCATGGGGAAAAAAATCTACAGCAGCCACACTATGCAGAGAGATGGTTTAAAAATAATTTTCATAATATGCCCTTGTAAAAAAACAAATATTCTACAGTTAATGAAACAACATTATTAAAGTGAAAGTGTAGCCCCCAAAAGTACTCCCCTCTGCTGAATGTCTTCATCTTAATCAGGGTTTTCAAGATGCAAAGTGGCTTTTCAAAAAGCGCAAGGAAGGGTGATTACATGAACAGAGAAGGATGTTTATATGATTTCTCCATTTATTTTTTACTTTATAAGTCACAATTCTCTTTTGCTACGTTAAGTTCTAGAGTTCTCTTGCTTTGTAGGGTGTGTGAGATTTAGTCAAATAATTTGCAAGTTGGGGGAAGAATAAAGCAAAGGTTGGCAAATCCTGATCTAATAAAATCTAAATTATCTGTATTCTGGGATCCTTAGGAAAACTAACATTCATCACTCCAGCCTGAGTGAGAAGTTCATTTAGTGAACAATGATCCGTCGAGCTTTGATCAATATGGTTGAAGTGGCAAATATCTCCTGAAATACAAATTATAGAGAAATATTTTTTTTAAAATTTATATGGCTCACTTCATGATATTCTCTTAAAAATGTGTTTGTAAAGGGGTAAACCCATATAAATTATAAAACTGTCTTATGGATTTTGACCTATGCCTGGACAATTAAATGATTTATGGATGGCTACCTGGAATTTTATGAGGCTACTCAGAGCAGGAGCTCTGGCCTGCCTCAGTGACAAATTGATGAGATATAGAATAGAATCACTGTTGTTGCACTGCAGGAGATCAGGCTTGGATATTCTAAGCACTAAGGAATAATGCGCTGGACAGGACACTTGGAAAGGATTCCGGATTGTAGAGCAGCAAGAATGATCTAGTCAGAAATCTAGGGCCAGACAGCTCACCAGTCAACCAAGACTGAGATGGATTTACGATGTTGAGAACGATTTACATCAACTGGGGGTCCACGCAAGGAGGTGGCAGCAATTGGATAGAACAGAATGGAAGGATGTAGTGGAGCAGCAGGCCAGGGCTACATGGGCTATAGCGCCAATGATGATGTTGATTTTTCTGAAAATCAACAGATTGTCGCTCTTGTTTCAGTAAGTTATGTTCACTATTAAACTTCTTCGTTTATGCCATATCACTACAAAATAGATTAGTGAACTGGTATAGGAGCCAACTCCATAAAAGTTTCAAAATTTTTGTAAAATTAACTACTCACACCAATAGAATAAATATGACCCACACCAATAGAATAAATATCCCTGTGTGAAAGAAAGAGCATATAAAGCCTTTGTCCGTCCGATTTCAGATTATGCATCTTCAGTCTGGGACCCATTTACCCAGAAGAGCATCGACAGGTTGGAGGCGGTCCAGCGACGAGCAGCACGCTTTGTCCTAAACCGCTACAGGAATACCTCTAGTGTTGGCAGCATGCAGGAAACACTACGCTGGTCACCATTGGAGGAACGACGACGACAATCCAGGCTCTCCATGATGTACAAGATAAATAATGGGCTGGTCCACTGTTCCAGTATTAAACAGAAACTCGTCTTTCTCCCCTATAGACAGTGACGAGGCCATGACAGGCAATTCAGGCTCATACCAGCAAGAAGCCAGTATAGGAGCTGCTCATTCCTGCCCAAGACAATCAAAGACTGGAACAATCTTTCAAAAGGAACGGTTGAGGCGACAACACTAGACACATTCAAACCCCTATTGTATGATTCCCTTACAAAGTGGCACTGGAAATCAGTGAAATTTCCTCATCAACACCAGGAACAGAAACATTGCAAATCCCATCTACATGCATAGGAGCCAAAATGATCAATAAATTGATCGTGGGCCCTTAAGATATAGAAGAAGAAGATGACTGCTGTCTTTTTCATGTCAAAACATTTTAACCAGTTTTTCATTTCTAATACACATTTTTTGTAACCTAAGTTTTTCCTGCTCTGTTAACACACTTTTATAATTGCAGGCATATGTGAGTTTTCATCCTGATACTGTGCTGGCAGATCTATTGATACTGAGTGACATGAATTTGTAATTTTTAGCAACAGCAAAAAATTGCTGAAGAATCCTCTATATTATGAAACGATTTGCTGATAATTCCAAGATTATCTATGATTACCTGGACCAAAAATGAAAGCACCACCTTGTTGATGTATATGGCCTTGAAATTCTTTGTCTGTGGATTTCATGGCCCTCCATACACTGCTGAGAACTCCAGATATAAATCCTGATTTTACATGCTTGCTACCTGATCATGCAAAAACTTGTTAACAATAAAAATAGAGCAGAAAAAATTGAGTACAACAAATAATTTCAGATACCCTTAATTATATTATAATAGTTTGTCATGTCACACCTTAAAAAAAAAAACTGTTCATTCACCATTTTTGGAGGGTTTTTTAATTAATTTTTTTGTGGTTCATTCTAGATCTAAACATTGTACATTTCACCATTAAGAAAAGTAATTGCTAAGCTACATTTTATAGTGTACAATAAATGGAGAGTACTCCTTAAACCTAGTCAATGCATGCCACCACCAAAGCCAGCAATGGAATTCAGAATAACAATGTACAGTAAGCGACAAAATAAACAGTACTGAAATTCCGCTATTTTGAACTTGTATTTGGGTTGGTCAAGGTGCATAGCTCCAGTCATCATATGTACCCAGTAGGCAATAGGAATATATGTTGGGCAGTTGTAGTTGGAAATGGGTGTCTCCACAGAGAGTATTCATATTTGACCATTTTTTTTTTGCTTGCACTTATTGTTCTGACAACTTTTTTCAAACTCTCAATTATAGAAAATTAGGAACAGCTCTCTATGACATAATTTGTCAGTCTATTTGTAAGCAACAGTTTTCTGCTTATGTGTGATTTCATTAGCTGGTTCAGAGCAAGATTTGCATTTGCATCACTATAGCATGTAGGTCAATATTATTATTATAAGGGAAACTGGTGGATATTGAAACAAACTGCAATAAAAATCATTGTGCATGGTAAATGAAATTAATTTTTTAATTTTTTTTTAAAATTTTTTCCACCTTTCCCGACTACTTACAAATGAGCTGTCTGACAATTAATTTGTAATTTTAAACTTTAAGAAAAAAAAGAATGCCCAAATCGTTTTTGCCTATATTTTAGTTTACTTCTATTATTGAATAAGCAACAAGTCTCTATGTTCACCTTCATTTGAATTTTCGTTCTAAATTTAATTTCTAAATCTTAATAGGTTTTTCAGTCTTGGTAGGGGTGCAGCTTTAATCTATAGGTGCTATACGTCCAAGGCAATTCAATGTAAATGTATATAATAAAAAGAAAATATTTAGCTGAGAAAAATGCTGTTATGCTCTTTAAATCTAAAAGAAAAGTATTTTCACTAATTGATTTAAGGCAACAACTCATGCGTAGGGCTGATTTTACATAAATGACCCTTAAAATGCCACTTACTTTCTAATGAACCACTAACTAACTTCTCTGTACACCCAAGTGCTTTGTATACTTCTCTCTCAGGATCTACATAGAGTGTGTATGTTAGCCCAGTCAGCTGTTTAAATGACTGAGTAAGAAAGGGAACAATTCATTAACATTTTGGGGAATTGTCAAAATATCTAGAGATACATATTATTAAGGTATAATTAGATAGGAAGAATTTTACAAAGGTACAGGTGCGACCCCAAAAATAATATTGAAGATATACAAATTATTATAATATACCATGAAGTTAATTTTGACATTTGTGACTAATCTCTCACTCTTGTATATAACTAAAATATATGTGAGGTTGTCCAAATTCACCTCAAGGGCAAAAAATAAACTGCCCAGTAACTGATCTTTTCTGTATTCTGAAAAGCTTGGATGTGTGTTACTTTAATAAATATTTTTTTTTACACTTATACTATCAATTAAACTCTGGTGCATAAAGAAATACAAGGGCTTTATAAATTCCACAAACCAGTTCGATTACATCCCCCACCCCCGTAGTGAAGCACGGGTGTATCAGCTAGTAGGTCATAAATGTGTAGTTTACTACCTTAATGTATTTGAATGGAGCTGGTCCAATAACAACAAGTCGGACGCCTGCATTCTGTAACAATAATTTAAATTGAACATCATTTTTTTCTGCTCAACAAATAAAATGGAAAGTCAATACACATAATAATGGAAAGTCAATACACTACATTTGTTTATTTACTTTGAGTTATAATAGATATAATTGCAAACCTAAAATGAACTCATGTCAAAAGAATTTATTTTCCAAATCTGCCTTTAGCAAATGCACATATTGGAAAACTCTTTAATAATATTGCAATAGGAAAATAGGACATGTTCAGCGCTTACAGTGAAAACAAGGAATGAACAGTTTGCTTAGTTTAGTTGAAAAATAACTAGGCTGTTAATATGACTAGATTTTGTTAATACAAAATATATGCCATTTAAAATTTAAATGTCATTTACCTGCAGATATTCCAATGGTATTATTGCTATGTCTGTGAAAGATGATGTTAAACCAAACTTTAATTAATATTTTAATCACACATGAATATTGGCGGTGGGCCGAGTTATTTGATGTTAACTTTACTAACTAGCAAAGGCAAAAATAAACCTAAAAATAAACTTTGAAACAATCTTGCAAACATGAGAAAACATATAAATAAGGCGGTGAAGTTTAGGAAGCCTACCCTTAGAGAAGAGATTAAGATCATATCTACTTCAAATTAATAGTAACATTTTTTTCCAGTAAGTTGATCTAATAATAAGCATGAATTAGTGTTGAAATGAAAAGTAAAAGTCTAAAACTTGTAACCAATATAAGATTTGCAAAATGTTTCTGCCGAAAATTGTGGCTAGATCTAAAAATTATAGAAAATTAGGAACAGCTCTCTATGACATAATTTGTCAGTCTATTTGTAAGCAACAGTTTTCTGCTTATGTGTGATTTCATTAGCTGGTTCAGAGCAAGATTTGCATTTGCATCACTATAGCATGTAGGTCAATATTATTATTTTAAGGGAAACTGGTGAATATTGGAACAAACTGCAATAAAAATCATTGTGCATGGTGAATGAAATTAATTAATTTTTTTTTATTGTTTTTTATTTTTTCCAACCTCCTTGGAATTTTTTTTTTATCATAATCTTGTCTCATTTATTACTTAATAAAAAATAATATTAATAATATGTGAACTGATATCTTTGACATTGACAGTGATGATATTCTTTTAAAACAGAGATTTTTTTTCAGGAAACACTCAAATAGTCCAATTGACTTTATATGCTCAGTTGTTATAAAAGAGGACACAACTAATTGAATACCATAGTAGATAATAAAAAAAAATGTATATGTAATTTTACAAATATATTAAGGGTTTTAAAAATAGTTACCTTCAACATATTCTTTTGTGATAAAATCCAAAAAATGCTGCATTAAGTGAAAAGAGAAAAAATATTTGTTAATTTAACTGGATCAACTTTTTTAAATAAATATTATTACTGATGAACTCTTAAGAAATCACGCCATTTCATGCCCTTCACTCTAAATTTTTTTCTTCAGATTTTAAAAATGAAGTTGTTTATTAATTTGTATCTTGAAGCAGGAAAGCTTTTAAGTCAGCATGTTTTTTTCCTCCCTTTGTGCATTCATTTTCATTGATAGCTAAAAGAAATGAAAGCAGCAATTAACTTAAAAATAATGTATTATTGTGTAGGCAGCCATGCAGCCAGTGTTTCCTTAAACTTAAAACATTAACTTTTTCGAACCACTTGTCCTAAAATTGGTATTTTTATTTACAGTTAGGTACTTAGATAAATAAGAAAAAATAATATGCCTACCCGTACTAATATAACAATAGTTTTCTGTTGTTTGAAAATATCAGAAAACATAATTTTATTCCCCATTTCATCAAAAACAGACAATAATTTTAAAGTTGACCAATCTATTTCTGCTTCAGGTCTTTCACCTCTTGAAATTATTAATGTATCCACATCAATGGAACATGTACTGTTCTTTTCAGTAGGGTCGTATGGGTCATCTTCACGTCTGGATTTAAAATTACTGGCGGCTTTATCGTGTTTAAAGGACAGTGACGGAACACTAAGATTTCTTCCTTCAATCTCCATTATTGAATACTATCTATTGTCTATAGTCATACACTGTTACATTACCAGAAATTATCATACAATAAATAAACAATTGTCTTCCCAAAACACACCAAGGTTAACACAGTATGATTATGATTATGATAGGGTCATTCACCTAAAAATTCAAATAATAGCCAACAATAAACAAGGCAAGTATATAAACTTTCACTAGGAATATGCCTAACTGACAGAAACTAAGACACTAGAGTGAGTCAAAATCCTCAATCAGCACTACACTACTGTAACTGTAGACCATACATACACTTCATACACTAATACAGTTACTGAGTTACTATGACTATGACTACTTAGCTACTATGAGGTACACTACGGTACAGAAGAGCACTGGACTACTACTACTACACTTTACAGCATGTATCTCTGACTCTCTCACTCACTCGTGAACACTCACTCAGATTATTTAACTAATTATAGATAATGGCAATGACACCATATGAGCAACACTGAACAGTGATAAGAAAATATAATGTCCGATAAAATTAAATGTGAAGACGTAAAACTCAGCACAAAAAATTATACGTTAAAGAAACTTTAAGTAGATAATACTAATCTTTTTTTCCTTTTTTCGGTTTTTAAAGTTTTGTCACCAAAAAGAAACGTTAGTGACTAAATGACTATGACTAACAAACAAAAAAAGAAATAGTTTCATCTTTTTCCTTATTTTAGAATATCGGAAATGTCTTCACACATGTTAGTAAATAATTATAATATTTACTATGCATGGTTAAAATATGACGGTTTTTTTCCCTTCTCACACAACCCACGCTGTAACTTCTGAAAAAACACATTAGCCTCGTAGGATACTTGTTACTCATGACAACAATGTAAACAACAATTTTACTGCCAGGATGGCGGTGGAAAACAAAACAAATTAAAACAATATTTTTAAGATTCTAATTCTAAATAACAAATCTTGCACAAATTTTGACCAATTTCATCTTAATATTTTATTAGGATGTCTGTTAAATATGTTTATATCATAACCAATCTCTACATTTGACACTGTGTAGTGTAAACCCATTAATGATTGGCTTGGACTTGAAATTTGGGAAGACAGAAAATTGGGATTTTAAAAAAAAAATTGGGTGGGGGATGGCAATAGAAACACCATTCGCAGTTGTAGTCAATATGTATGCATATGTTTTGACCAATATAAATGACATTGACAGAGAACTGGCATATAATTCACCAGCCTATGTCAGCCACACATTGCCTTTACTCCTCTACGTGCTATTCCACACACCTGTGGCAGTGTTCACGGTTGACCGGTTGAGGTAATCTCAAAGTAGGTCACAGATACCTTCACTGCCGCTTTTGACCTTAAAGAACCAACATTCTTCCTGCTTGGCTTAACTAAAATACACGTTGACCTTGACACGCAATTCACAAGATCTTCCTTATATAGAAGCAGATTCATGTGTCATTTATTCGACTACACAGTACCACCATAGCGTCCGTGTGATCGTATCTTTCTTACTCGTGTGGATTTCCATTGTCGCCGTTTGTGATTGTGTTATTTTTGTTTTTTTATCGTTTTCCCAATATGAATTTATGAAGACGATTATGAATAAGAACTAGATCAGTCGAGCTTTAGGAACAGAGATAATCAAAATAGTCTCTAAATAAGCTAATTTATTGTTGAAATCTGTGCATGGACGAAAATTCGAGAATTAATCATCTATGTACGGTAGGTTGTTATTATTATTTTAAAATAATAATTTGAGACATCGAGACCTAATCGTTTGTTAGTTTTCTGAAGAGTTATTTCCCCCATCCCCTAGATTTTTCATATTATTATTAATGTATTATTTCATTTGCAAATAACCTTTATTAGCTAAACTAAAGGCATAATTGATCAACGGAGAAAAAATGTGACGGTCAGGTCATTTGGGTTGCCCAATATAGATACGACTTGGTGTTAAAACACTAACAGGAATGTAATGTGATTAAAATTGGAATTTTACGTACTTATTTAACGCTATTTATTATTAGTATTATAGTAACTGACACTATTCTGGAATGAATAAGTAGGCATATCGACTATCGTGCATTATCGAGCATAATTTTATTTTATGTTTCTCAAGTTTAATAAATATTTTCATTACAAAACTTCGATGTAGCCTACTTAACAAAAGTTTAATCAAACTTATTTTGGGCTAAAAGCTATATAGCAAGCTCTGCCGTGCCTGCAGAATTAAGTATATTAAAAATGCCGTGCCTTATATTTTTTTAAAATTTAGTAAATACGAAATGGACTACTTTCAAAATATTTCCTGACTTTATTTTATACCTTTGCCTTTTGGGGCCTGCAATAAAGTATGTACGCAACACAATTCAAAATTTACCCCCCCCCCCTTTGCACCCTTAAAATTTTAACCCCCCCCCCCCCACTGTTGAGAAAGTAAAATACCCCACAACCCCAGTTAAAATTAGAAATAAAAAAAAACAATGACATGACCGTCACGTGTTTTCTCCGTTGTCTCTTTGGCTTAGCACAAAGGTTCCCAGAATCTGCCCCGCGGCGCCCTGTGGAGCAGCGGCTTCCTCACAGGGTTGGCGCGAAATATTACATAATTTTCATAATTTTATTTCCAAGTTCAATCCAGTTTGACAGGGCACGACATCTAACGGACATTTTGCAAACCAGGAACTCACCTGAACAATTATTACTGTTTGCAGAAGCTCCTACAAATGTTTACTAGATTGTTGCTTAGTGAATGAACTGCATCAGTGGTCCCCAAATGGCGGTCTGTGGACCTTCACCGGTCCGCATGTCTAACGCTGACGGTCCCCATTACATAAATATTTATTGTCAAATTGAAATAAAAGTATAAAAATAAATCATGCACCGGTCCCTGGTAAAATTTCGAAACTTGTTCACCGGTCCGCCAAACGTTTGGGAACCACTGATCTACATAATATGTGTTTTAATTCCCGAACCCTTTACATTGAAATAAATGTCTTCACTATTTCATGTGTACCGATACATGTTAAGAGTTCGACAAACGGCTATTGGAGCTTGGACAGAACGTAAATTCGGCAACTGCACCGAAAAATCGAAAAATAGGAGTATCTGACTTGGCCGATCAAAGTAATTATGTTACCCTGCACTGAAACATTCTAAGGCGAGGGTGGACTAAATGTAACTGTGACTAATGTGTTATCTACCGAGTTCACTTGTAAAAACAGCAGGGTGATAATTCCAAAACTTTGCTGTGATTATTTATAGTTTATAGAAATAAGGGGAGAAAATAAAAAAAGTAAGGGAAGTAACCCAAGACGTAAACATTTCATGAGACGGAGATCTCCGAAGGGAGGATTTGAGGACACTGCCATCTTTTGATATGAGGTTTTTTTTCTTTCTTTTCTTCCTAGTAACTTTCGCAGGCTGAAATAAGAACTGTTGCCCGATGTAAGCTTTTCGTTCATCCTCAGTCATTATTTCAATCTGCTCATTTATAGTAGCTCCTAGATATTTGAAAGTAGCCATTTCTCGAAGGCGTGGTTGCTTGTTTTGATCTTGTCACCAGTATGCGTGATTCGTGACATTACTATATACTTTGTCTTCGCTTCATTTACCAGCGTTAACTAAGGCATCTTCAATTTCCTTGAATACTTGAATTATATCAATTGCTGTTTCAGCCAGTAGAACTCTGTTTATCCGCATGTGCCAGGTAGCGGTACTGCAATGGTTGGCTCTATGCATCCCCTGATGGTTATGGTTCTGTGAACATCTCTGGAATGGTTTTGATTGTTCCACTGGTGCTCACATGTCATGTTTCTCATAACTTTTTTTAAAATGGGATGTTGAACAAGATACAAGATGATAGTGAGTCTCCTTATCTGGGGCCCTGATTAATCAGGGCATATTTTGAGTACTCTCAGTTACAAAAGGCAGACTGCTGGTCATGACCCCTTGAAAGGATTCTGGATTGTAGATCATAACAGCAAAAGTGATCTACAGGCAGGAACCAAGGATGAGAGGGCTCACCGGTCGACCAAGACTGCGATGGATCGACTTACACCAGGTCGCGAGATGGAGGCGGAAAGGGATGGATCGTTCCGAATGGAAGGGTGTGGTGGAGCAGGCCAGAGCCCGACATGGGCGCCACTGATGTTGATGATGTCATCTTTTTTTAAAGATATTTTTTTCTAATGTACGTCATCTATGATCTAATTGGGTCAGTAAATGAGCCACCAAAAAATGTCAAACAAAAACTTTTTCCTTTCTTATTCTGATTAAGTGATTGTTTAAATATCACGTCTGTGAAATGAAGACAAAATTGAGTTCGACTCAAAATGTGTTGTTGTTGTTGTTTGACTCAAACTCAAAAGTGACAGTGAGTGACAATGGTGACAGACACGGATGTAGTTAATGTCGAGGGCGGAAAAGTGTGTGGGTGGAAGGGGTGGAGGAATTCGAACAACCTAGACGACTTCGCAGGTCGTAATCTGGCACTTTATCTGGTATGATTTTAAAAGAATAGATGACTTTTACTCAATGTCACTATATGAACGCCATCTACACATTACTGTGGCGCTGCCGCCCATGGGGGGGGGGGGGGTTAGCCTGCCTCACCCTTTCCTTCCCCCCAGCCCCAAATAATGCTCTTTTTTTTTCTTCCTTGGTTTCCCCGTTGTTTTAGATTGTATATCTTTTTCCACATCATCCATCAGTCTAAGCCTAAGTCTGCCTTTGAGCTTTTTTCTTCTGGGGTTGCGGTGGTGTACCCCCTTCAACCCTCTGTCATTTGGCATTCTTTCTAAGTGTCCTGCCCAGCGTAGCCTAACCTTGTAGACTATATCTTTCCTGCTTGGTTCCGCTGACGGAATAGATGAAAGTTGCAAAGTGATTTTGCTCATAGACGGATATAATAAAGTCAGTGATCATGTGTATATCATGAATGCAATACAAGGAATTTGTTTGAGTGTTTAATGTTTTCGTAATCCCACAATCCAATTAACTTTTGTATTGATTCAAGGAAATGGAAAAAATGTTTTGATAACATTGCACGTAATCATTTTCAGCATATTAAATAAAAACACAAGACAGTTTTTTAATTTAAAAAAATCACTAAAGTATAAACATTGTGATTAAATTTACAATTCGTCATTCTGGTGTGTTCATTTCACCAAAGTTGATGGTCATTCCGATGTGTTTCATGCTGCCTATTGTCAACTAGCATGTTTCCTGCATTATGTCACTTTACTGTGGCCAACTAAAAAGTCTAAAAAATTGCTACGTCAACACCATCCTTCTGACATGTTTCTGCTTGGTGGCGTACCTCCTACCTAAGCCATCTTGGATATGCGGCCCTGCAGGAACGCAAGAAGTCGTCTCGGCATTTTTAGTGGATAAACATCTCAAGGTCGACCAATGGGAAGCTTCCAAAAATGAGTTTATTGACCCTGCCAAGAATGTTGAAAGTCGAATGTTTCCTATTTACAATCACGACGACACTCGTTGGAGATCGGAAAATACGTCGGGCTTCATCGCTCCCAGAGTGAATGTTTTTAAAATTCGGAATTTTAATTTTACCCATTTTGGTCGAAACTGGGTGAATACTCAAGAAAATGGACACAATGTTGATACACGCAAAGGCGCACGACTGAGACAGCCACAGCGAGAGCCCGGTCGTTTGCGGTCAAAAACTCTAAGAGAATTGAGGAAAATCCAAAAGCTTCCGGATTGTGTGAGATTAAAAGTGCCCCTGGAAGCTACGCCCACGAAAATTTGTGTTCATTATCCTGCAGACGACAAGTTTATCTCCAATCGAATCCGAGACACCGGAGGATGGGAGAAGGAGTTAGTCTTTCAGATGGGATCATTCTTAATGGTAAGATTTGTTTAAAATTGCTTTTTAACGTAAACTAGATATGTAAAACTTACAAAACTATAATATGCGCTAAATAAAAGTGTGAGTCAATGATGGTGATGTCGTGTAAAAAAATATAAAAAAATCTTTGAAAGGCGCATATCTAAATTATGAAGTTACTTACGAATTAGAAAATTCATGCACTGTCCCGAAGGTCAACAAAACTAGTGGGGCATTTTAAGTTCCTGTGACTTTATACAATTTAATCAAAATAAAACTTTAAAAAAATTATAGTATAACGATGCGCTTCAATCCAGATTGCGAAACTTATGTGGAAAATATATGCTGCAAAATACAGGTACTCAAAAATAACCATACAACCTCTTATACAATATGAAATAGCATAATAATAAAATGTTAAACATTTTTTTTTTAGAATGTTCATTTTTGATATAAGTAATGGTGCTAATAGATTGAGATTATTATAGTTGTCATCTTACCGATCAATCGTTAACACATAAGAAAAATGTGAAATCCTCATTGAAATCCTGCTGGACTCTCTCTTTTCAGAAAAACCCAAAGTCTCAGCTGGTCGACCTGGGTTGCAACATTGGGGTCTTCAGCCTTGTCGCTGCTAGCCTAGACCGGCCATCGCTGGCCGTGGACATACTACCATCCAACTTGGCGCTCATTCAACTGTCGCTGGCCACCAACGATGAGCTGATGGAAAACGACCGGGTCTCGGCTGGCGGCGACACCAATGGCGAAAGCGTTGACGCTATCCTCCAGCACGCCATGGGGTATCCTAAAAACAAGAACCGGACCAAGTACACACAGCTGGTGACAACCCTCCACAACGCCGTGTATAGCAGACGACAAAAGATGTCGGTCTATCTGAAGGATTGGGATTCTAATTTAGGTGGAACGGAAGTCAAAGAGCTCGGCGCGGCGCGCTCGGATTCACCGGTTATCGCCGACGGTTCTCAAATTCTGGTGGATGCTGTTTGCCTGGACGACCTCGTGCCCTACATCAAGGCCAACCTCAGCGTGTTTCTCAAATTGGACATAGAGGGCTCAGAACCAGATGCGCTTCTTTGCGCAACGCAGTTTTTCATGTACGCTGACGTAAGGGTCATTCTTATGGAGATCCTCTTCCACCGTTATTCGCTGCAGGGCAAGGCGATGGTTCAGTTCTTGCTCAGACACGATATGTTGCCTTCTAAAGACGTGGAGGGCAAGGAGATGCTCAATACTAAAGCCATGTACGAATGGCCCGAGAATATGTTTTGGTTGAAAATGAGATAGAAAGTTGTGATATCCACGCATTTTGACAAGACCTTGCTTTGACTTTGTGCCTTCTGGTGAATTCCCGGACTTCAATAATTTTCATACATTCCGTCATTGTTCAATTGTTTATAAATTGTTCAAACAGTCTGTCATTTTTCGTACAGTCAGTAATTGTTTGTATATTCTCAGAATTATTCTGTCATTTTTTATAAATATATCATTTTTATGTATTATGTCATTGTTCATACATTTTGTAATTCTTCATACAGTCTGTAATTTTTCATAAAGCCTGTCATTGTTCATGCATTCCAATTATGTCATTGTTCATAAATTCTGTCGTTCTTCCTGCTGCCTCTATTACTTTTATGTTTCATATCATTGTTTATTATCTTCCTCTATTAATGTCATGCCATGGCCATTTATGTCATGCCATGGCCATGTTATGTCATGCCGTGGTCATTTATGTCAAGTCATGGCTATTTATGTCATGCCATGGCCATGTTATGTCATGTCATGGCTATTTATGTCATGCCATGGCAATTTATGTCATGTCATGGCTATGGATGTCATGCCATGGCCAGTTATGTCATGGCTATTTATGTCATGCCATGGTCATTTAAGTCATGGCTATTTATGTCATGCCATGGCCATGTTATGTCATGTCATGGCTATGGATGTCATGCCATGGCCAGTTATGTCATGGCTATTAATGTCATGCCATGGCCATTTATGTCATGGCTATTTATGTCATGCCATGGTCATTTATGTCATGGCTATTTATGTCATGCCATGGTCATTTATGTCATGGCTATTTATGTCATACCATGGCCATGTTATGTAATGTCATGGCTATTTATGTCATGCCATGGCCATGTCATGTCATGTCATGGCTATGGATGTCATGCCATGGCCATTTATGTCATGGCTATTTATGTCATGCCATGGCCATTTATGTCATGGCTATTTATGTCATGCCATGGTCATTTATGTCATGGCTATTTATGTCATGCCATGGCCATGTTATGTCATGTCATGGCTATTTATGTCATGCCATGGCAATTTATGTCATGTCATGGCTATGGATGTCATGCCATGGCAAGTTATGTCATGGCTATTTATGTCATGCCATGGCCATTTATGTCATGGCTATTTATGTCATGCCATGGTCATTTATGTCATGGCTATTTATGTCATGCCATGGTCATTTATGTCATGGCTATTTATGTCATGCCATGGTCATTTATGTCATGGCTATTTATGTCATGCCATGGTCATTTATGTCATGGCTATTTATGTCATGCTATGGCCATTTATGTCATGGCTATTTATGTCATGCCATGGTCATTTATGTCATGGCTATTTATGTCATGCCATGGTCATTTATGTCATGGCTATTTATGTCACGCCATGGTCATTTATGTCATGGTTATTTATGTCATGCCATGGTCATGTTATGTCATGTCATGGCTATTTATGTCATGCCATGGCAATTTATGTCATGTCATAACTATGGATGTCATGCCATGGCCAGTTATGTCATGGCTATTTATGTCATGCCATGGTCATTTATGTCAAGTCATGGCAATTTATGTCAAGTCATGGCTATTTATGTCATGCCATAGTCATTTATGTCATGTCATGGCAATTTATGTCATTTCATGGCTATTTATGTCATGACATTGCCATTTATTTCATGTCATGGCTATTCATGTCATTCAATGTCATGGCTATTTATGCCATGTCATGGCTATTTATGTCATGTCATGGAATATGTCTGTTCCTATTAGCCTTATACTAATATGTTTATTGGGATTTAATTATTTCCATGAGCTTATTTCCCAGAATTGCATTTCTTTTAGTTGATATAATCAGTGGGCTTTGTTTTGATGTGGTCATTTTATATAATGAAGTCATTTGTAAATTAATAGAATTGATAAATCCAATTGAAAATTAAAAGGTTGTGATTTTTAATTGAACTTGAATCTATGAAATGTAATCGATCATCACTTTACACTTTGTTGTTGGGTGGTACCGTTGTGGTCATAGTAGGTTTGCAAAAGTCTAAACCCGAGCCGATATAATTTTGACCAGTCCTGATTTCTCAAGGCCATCCACCAGACAAAAGAATGAATTGGCGATGCAGTCATGTGCCAGTCTGGGTACCAGTATAGAAAGCTGTGACAGGAGGGAATTTTCTAGGTTTTTGGAGGAGCTGTGACAGGGGAATTTTCTAGGTGTTTGGAGGAGCTGTGACAGGGGAATTTTCTAGGTTTTTGGAGGAGCTAAACCGGAGGGCACTTTCAAGGTGGTTGAATTTTGCTAGGGTCACTTTCTGGGTGGAGGAATTATGCTAGGGACACTTTCTGGGTGGAGGAATTATGCTAGGGACACTTTCTGGGTGGAGGAATTATGCTAGGGACACTTTCTGGGTGGAGGAATTATGCTAGGGACACTTTCTGGGTGGAAGAATTATGCTAGGGACACTTTCTGGGTGGATTAATTATGCTAGGGACACTTTCTGGGTGGAAGAATTATGCTAGGGTCACTTTCTGGGTGGAAGAATTATGCTAGGGTCACTTTCTGGGTGGTTTCAGGAAATGTTTACAAGAGGGTGCTGCCCCTTAAAAATCATTTCCCTTCAAACATGGTTATTTATAAGATATAAAGTTGTTCTTAATTGATGCTCCCCCCTCCCCTTCCCTAAACTCCTGAAATCCCTCCCCGGATTAAACCGGTATTCTGAAAGAAACTCTGGGGTATAAAAATGCTTCACAATATACAATGGCATGCAAAACAAGCACTAGTGTTCAAGTTTCAATAATCAACACTATATGTCTTCACCGGAAGTCTTAAAGTCACATGACGCTCAAAGCAGTCTGTCGAATATTTTAACATTAATAACTCGTAGTAATTCCCTAGAACTTCTGCCAATTCATTTGTTAGTGTTGTTGCAAGTTGCAGATTTTTGTTGTTGTTTTTTTTTCGTTTAGTCTATATCAAGATTAAACTGAAATATAATACTTTAATATTTTTATTAAATTATAACTAAAGTGGCTTAAATGTGATCTATTAACGTTATAATTATAAAAGAATAATTAATTAGATGAATGATAAACAAATTTTCAATAGTCCAGAATTTCAATTACTTTGTTACCAAACATTTCAAACATGCTTTATATTTATTTCATCTGATTAGTTCTTGGAGAGACACATTTACGACTAGAATTCTTCATGCTAGAAATTGTGCCACACAATCCGACACAAGCTGTTTTTAACCACGATATATGGAACATGAAACACTCAAGAAGATCTATTCCAAGTTGATTAAATACATCTATAGAATCCGAAAAGAAGGTATTAATATAAAGAAAGGTGAAATAGATAACAAACAAACAAAGTAAAGACCTTTAAAAAAAAACCCACATTATTTGCAAAAGGTATTAATAGATCTTAGAAGTGACGCAATCAAGACAATTACAAGCTCGGAAGGGTCGCAAATTGTTTCAGTTATACATTGAACCTATCGCGTGCGAGTCTTGCACAGTGCGATGTTGTTGATAAGAGAATGCCTTTGACGATTCACCAGCAAATGCATAACACATCGTCCTGTCGTGATATGTTGTGGGCCTAGACTCTGAAAATATGGTGCATGGTCAAGTCCTGAACACGGCTCAACGAGGCCACGGCCAGCATCGACCGAGAAGGAAGACCTCCCTCACCCGCTATGACGGGCATCCATTCGAATGGCTTCTGTGACCGCTGGCCACGCGGGCTATAGACAGCAGTCTCTTACGGCCCAGGCGGGAGTTTTAAACAAAAATCTCAACCCGGACAATTGTGAGCTGTCCATTAGCCGCAAGACGAACGAGAAAATGTTTCAGGCTAGAAGGAGGCAGTTGAAACTATTCATCACCGTTGCGTTCATTTTTGTCACTGTATCATATTTACCTCGACCGAAATGGCTGACTTGCGATCCCGAAATCAACCCCGCACCACTTGAAAATCCCGATCTATCATTTCCTTATAGAGAAAAGATGCCGCTTAAAATCATCGATCCTAACCTAAGAGGTGCGGTCAGGATGTTTAACATCTACAACGAAACTCAGACGGAGATTATAAGAGATTATCGTCATTACAAACTGTCCAGAAGAGAATTAGATGAACATCTTCCCCAAGTCACGCCGAAATTAAGAATCTTGCCATCTACGATTAAAAAACTTCCTGTCCATCTGCAGTTGATGTCAACTCGGGAAAGAGAGTATCTCTATGGCAGACGAGGGGTGAAACCCAGTAACCAATCAACAAACTCCTACAGCTCGCGCGAGCAGCCCGAGTGCGTGAAGTTTGTGGGTCCGCAGGAAATGAAATCGCCGAAAATCTGCATCCATCCCCCAGAAAGGGACAGAGTGATCTCCATGTTTCTGAGATCTTCCGGTCACTGGGAGATTAACCATGTGATAGACATGGAGTGGGCCATGCAGGTAAGGACACAGTGAACACAGGTTAAAGTAGCCGTGGTTTGGTCTTTTTTGTCCATGTCCACTATATTTGTTAAGGGTGATAATCCTTGGGATTGATTGCTGTTGTCTGCAATTGATTTACAAGTCTTTTGCTACTGGTAGTGGTAGATCTCTACATGACTGTGTTGTAAAAAAAAAAAAAAAAATTGTGCTGACTGGAATTATTGATTGCAGGGCCGGCCTTTAGGGTGTGCGACCTGTGCCCTCGCACAGGGCGCCGTGGCCAAAGGGGCGCCCAGCAAATATTTAAATTCCATACGTTTATTATAGTGAAGTTGTGAACCTCGGGTCCAGGGTCGAGAAATGATATTCTAACTTTTCGTACACGGCGTGTGCTTAGGGCGCCATCAAGATCTTCCCAAAATAGGAAACAGCACTTCATGTGGGCGCCTTGGAAGAAAAATAGAAAGTGCAATAAAAAATATATTCTGATAGAAGTTTTAAAAAAATTTTTGTATTGTTCATTGTTTGATTTTTTTTAAAAACACCATAGGTAAATATTAATCAACTCATTACCTAAGAACTCGTGTTTCCGTTAATGGTTATACTCAAAAGGGGCGCCAAAGTTAAGCTCGCACAGGGCGCCGGCAACCGTCGGGCCCCCGGCCCTGTTGATGGGGTGTGTTTATTACGGTATTATATTTTTTCACAGAAGGTTGAGGCTTCTTGTAGTATCTCAATATCATGTAACTTACTTTCAGGGTTGTCAACCATGCGGAGCCTTAACAATTTGTCATAAAATGATTTGTCCGTAAAACTCCGTATGATCTTTACCAAGTCTTTAAACATGTAGAACTAGAACAAAAAACCTTCAGCGAAACGAACGGGAAATGTCAATGGTTTTGATTTCTTCTTATTACCTAGACTTGGATGAGCGAGAGGAAATATACACACCGGAAAGAAACTAAATTCTAAGATAAAATACTAATAACATAAAGGCGTACACATTGACGGGCTGGTGCCTCGTGCAGTTGCCGAGCAAAATGGGGGATCATTAAAAAAATAAAAAATTGGGCGCTACGATGAGATCTGTGAAGGGTTGGGATGGGTGCTGATAGGAGAGCTGTGAAGGGTTGGGATGGGCGCTCATACAAGATTTGTGGATTTTACACCAAAAAGTAAATAAAATACTTCTTCCGTGGATAATATAAATATTAACATTTAATACTTAAAAGTAGCAAACAAAATATTCTTTTAAAAAAAACTTTTTTTTTTTTTTTAAATCTATCAAAAGACGAGTTTAAACGCCCTAAAAAGTAGGAACTATTTTAAATATTCTTAAAATGCATATACGTAAAGATAGAAAACATTATAAATACAAATACTTTTTTATTGAGTTGGTTACCCTGCTTCAGAGTCATCGCGTGGGCCCTGCAAAGGTGCTTCAGAGTCATCGCGTGGGCCCTGCAATGGTGCTTCAGAGTCATGGCGTGGGCCCTGCAAAGGTGCTTCAGAGTCATGGCGTGGGCCCTGCAAAGGTGCTTCTGAGTCCTGGCGTGGGCCCTGCAAAGGTACTTCAGCGTCATGGCGTGGGCCCTGCAAAGGTGCTTCAGAGTCATCGCGTGGGCCCTGCAAAGGTTCCCGCTTATTTTTAAAGGTCCCTCTTATTTTAAGAGACCCAAATATGTCATTTGAAAATAATGGCTTTATCACGTGCTTACATTGCCAGCTAACATTAACTATATGCATTCCAATCTCTCCAGGCCAACACAGACATGCAGCTAACATTAACTCTATGCATTCCAATCTCTCCAGGCCAACACAGACATGCAGCTAACATTAACTCTATGCATTCCAATCTCTCCAGGCCAACACAGATATGCAGCTGGTGGACCTAGGCTGTAACTTAGGCGTGTTCACATTATACGCCGCTGGAATGGGACGCCACGTCATCGCTGTCGATGTCTTGCCCAGCAACCTCCGACTCCTGCAGACGTCACTCACCCTCAATGACCTCGAGAATCAGAGCTATGTCATCAGACGCAACACGTCAGATGTATACCCTAAGCGAAACGTTACACAATCTCATCCAACGACGAGACCTACAGCAAGAAAAACCGAGAAAGGCAGTGATGTCGACACGTTTTTCAGACCTCACCCTAAAATCCAAAATGACATTCCTAAGAAAGATTTTGGTGTGGATAATGTATTCATAAAGGATTTCAATGATGCGTTTTCCAACAAGGAAAGTCTCAGAGAGACACGCCAAATAAAGAATCGGAAAACAAGAGTTCGAAAATCTCGAGCTCTTCTCCAACTAAAGACTGATCACGTGACAAAAAGGGAAGCTATTTCACACAAGATACCACTTCCGGTTAAGAGTGGGTCAGAAATTGCGGACGATAAATTTCGCACCGGAATATCTGCAAATAGCAACAAAACGGTAATCCCAGATTCGCATAAACGTATGGAAACTCCAGCGTCTTCTTGGTCCAACCCTAGAAACATGTCTAGCGACGCCCCTCCGACCGAAACACTCCGGATATCCCAGCTGGTTACGATCGTCCAGAACGCGGTCTACAGGGACAGAACCACGCGGCTGGGTGTTCACCTCCAGAAAGACGGTAACGTCGGGGGCTCGGATGTTCTCAGAGAGGACTCGCCGCTGTTGGACGAGCAGCGGAAGTCACAGAGCCTCGTCCTGGTGGACACCATCTGCCTGGACGATTTGTTGCCCTTGGTGAAGGCCCCCAGCGTGTACCTCAAGATGGACATCGAGGGGTCGGAGCCCCAGGCTTTGGAATGCGCTCAGAAGTTTTTCGAGAAGGTCCGCGTCCGGTACGTCCTGATGGAGTGGTTGTTTCAGCTCAGGGCCGTCGGCTCATTGCGCCCAGCAGCACCTGCCATGATACGATTCTTAACGGCCAAGGGTCTTATTCCCACCAGGGGCACAGGGGTGGACGTGAGGGGTGGGGCCGGCGATAACAGAGGGGTGTCCGTTCTAGATGTAAACACCTGGGATAAGTGGCCAGAAGTGGTGTTGTGGATGGAGAGGTAGAGTGGTGTGGATGGAGAGGTAGAGTGTTGTGGATGGAGAGGTAGAGTGGTGTGGATGGAGAGGTAGAGTGGTGTGGATGGAGAGGTAGAGTGGTGTGGATGAAGAGGTTGTGTTGTGGATGGAGAGGTAGAGTGGTGTGGATGGAGAGGTAGAGTGGTGTGGATGGAGAGGGAGAGTGGTGGGGATGGAGGGAAAGAGTGGTGTTGGATGGAGGGGTAGAGGGGTGTGGATGGAGAGGTAGAGTGGTGTGGATGGAGAGGTAGAGTGGTGTGGATGAAGAGGTTGTGTTGTGGATGGAGAGGGAGAGTGGTGTGGATGGAGAGGTAGAGTGGTGTGGATGGAGAGGTAGAGTGGTGTGGATGGAGAGGTAGAGTGGTGTGGATGGAGAGGTAGTTTTGTGGATGGAGAGGTAGAGTGTTGTGGATGGAGAGGTAGAGTGGTGTGGGTGGAGAGGTAGAGTGGTGTGGGTGGAGAGGTAGAGTGGTGTGGATGGAGAGTGAAAATGATGTCAATAATATGCACAGATATAGGAACACAGTTTGTGGAACTGTTAACTTATAGCGTGTCCATGAGTCCAACGCGTAATAGTTAGAGCAATATTGTTTAAACATGAATAACTTAACAAGATTGTTAACATTGCAAAATGTATACATGACAAAATCATATGTTAACTATGAGCCAAAATGACATAATAACAGATTTAAACAAATCAACCATCGAAATGTCTCTTTTTAAATGATTTAAAATATATTTAAAATTGTATTAATCTTAAAAATGTATTCCAATTGAAAACATTGTCCCAATTTAAAATATATTTTCGTTGATCTAGCTCAGGGGTCACCTAACTACTTCCCACGGGCAGGATTCGGCCCGCGAGGCCAGTTCATCCGGTTCACCGATAAAAGGTGTGGAACACGAGACGTTGTGATACAATTTGAATTCCCAAATTATGTTTAGAATACTAAATCTTCACACGTGCGGGGACCTCCTGGCTGCTATGCGCCTTAATTTACCATTTTCAATTTTAAATTATTGTACCGGTATCTAGATATTCTTATTTATTACAGACTTGTTTACCCTCGAACTCCTAAAATCGTACAATGTCTTCTCAAAATCGTACAATACGGTATCTTAATAGTAAATAAATAAACGTACAGTATGTAAAATTAATACAAGAACTTCTCGTATCGCAGTGCCTAGTGGGATCGAGTTAAGCTGCCACCAAAAAAGTTAACTTCTAAAAGTAGATGACCGACGTATTATAATACAATATGCGATCACTTTATTTTGCAGACGTGTATTCGCTATTAATATTAATTTTTATCGGATTTCCAGGTCACATTATCACAGTCTTTCACTGGCAAAAATAAAGTTACTGGTGAAATTTAACGTGGTTCAAACTCGAACTCAGATCAGCATAAAACAAGATGAAATAGGAATCAATGTCCATAAAGCCTATTATCGCTATATAATATATTGTAGTCTGATAAGTAGCACGAATTGTAAATGGGTGAAAGGAAGAGGAGTGTTGGAAACATACGAGGACATTAAAATTAAAACTCGTAGTGGCCACGGTTGGCACTTACAACTTACAGCCCTTCGGCAAGTTCCGTTGTGCGGAGAGCAGAAGAACTCGGCGAGCACAGATACGCGAGAAAGCTAGGAACTTGCTGTGGTATTCTCTAGCACTGGATGGGTCTACTGATCTCTCACAACGTCTCGTCTTTATTTGTGGTGTCAATTTAGACTTTCAGACAACGGAAGAGCTGGCATCCCATTGCTGCATGCATGGAACAACTAATGTCTGTGAGCAAACATTTTCAAAAATAAAGTATGTGACGTCGACACATCGAACGAGGGGATTGGTCAACATTGAAAACAATTCTTTTGATTGGATGCAATTCCCAACCAATCATTGATGGTCTCTTGAAAGCCCAACGTCAGTTTCACAAATCCCACTAACCTTTTTGCTGCTTAATTTGTGAAATTTGAATATGTGCACACTAGGTCTGATGTAACTATCTTTTTGCTGTGCACTAGGTCTGATGTAACTATCTTTTGGCTGTGCACTAGGTCTGATGTAACTTTCTTTTTGCTGTGCACTAGGTCTGATGTAACTATCTTTTTGCTAAAGTTGCTTTCTTTGCTAACTTGTTTAGTAAATAAATATGATGGTTGTCTTTTTTTGCCCTGCACGCCACTCACCCATGATTAACACGGAGTACTAAAGTTAGTTTTTCGTCTTTATTCCCCAGAGCTTTCGTTCTGGCTTGCAATTATTGTACAGTTGTAAGTTGTACAAAATGATTATCTTGCCCGCGGCCCGCGCTCGTCATTTTTTTTCGTTATCCGGCCCGCCGTGAAAAAAGTTTGGTGACCCCTGATCTAGCTGGAGAAATTTGAAAATACCCCAATACCCTCTCTCCAGTACGCATTAATAAACCTAATTCATGCATGGAAAAATAATTTCAATTAATTTCAGGTATATGCATAAGATGATTACTATTGCCCATGTTACCTGCCCTTGTTGTTTAGTCTTCAGTTCAGTGCAATCCTGCCAGGCCAAGGCATCAAGTGCCTTCAAGGCATCAAGTGCCTTCAAGTTGAACTATGCTTGATAAAATTTAATAACCTTTTGAATGTGCAGCTTTGTGTGCTTTAAAATGTATGTCTGACTGTATATAATAATAACAACAGTTATTCAATTTTAAATTCTATTTTCAACAGACAAATCAACACTTGAATTCTGTATGTTTTAGTGTGTTTATTGTTGCTAAGTACTCTAGATAACACATACAGGATATGTGTATGAAAATGCATAAAATAAAAAATGTAAAAAAACAAATTACTTTTTTTTTTAAATGTTGAAAATGAAAGCAAAGGGACTGAGTATTACATTTGGTGAGATTATTATACTAATATGGATCTGATACAGTCACAAAATTTCGTTTCTGTCTTTTATTAGTTTTATATTTTAAAAAAAATTAATTTAAAAAAAAGATCCGTCACTGCCATGTGTTCACATTCCACGAACACAGAGGGATATACAGTACAATCACTGGGTTAACCATTAGAGTTACCATGACCAGAGACGTAACTAAGGAGGCAGGGCCGGCAGGGGGGCAGATGCCCTAGGGCGCCAGACTAGTTTGAGGCGCCAAAATGTGCCTTGATATTATTTCATTGATGAAAATAAGGGGATCGAGAGTGGAAAAAAGAAAGGGGGGGGGGGCTCTTTAAAACAAATTTTGTCCCCGGGCGCCAAACACGCTAGTTACGCCTCAGACCATCAACGCCGGCCTTAGGCAAACGTTCGCCCTGTGCGAAGCACCCGTTCGGCGCCCCCTTCCCTGTCCCCGAATGGTTCCGCTCTTTTTCCGATTACGACCTAGGCTATGGAGCACGTGTTATGATGCTATACATGTAGCTAACCATATGCATTTTAACATGCCCATTAATTTAGACTGTTTCGTTTTTCTACGGTACTTTGTTTCATTTCCACACTTTTGTATGAAAAGCGATTGTACGAAAAGTTTGAATACCGTTTCTTGACCCCGGACTCGAGGTTCACTATAACAAACTAAGGGAATTTTCCGAGGCTCAATATAATAAACTAAAGGAATTTAAATATTTACTGGGCGCCCCTATGGCCTCGGCACCCTTTGCCAAGGGCACAGGTCGCACATCCTAAAGGCCGGCGTTGTGACCAAGCCTTGCGTTAAACTTAAAGATCATCACGATCTTAAAACACCGGTGTTTAAACTCTTTCGTTTGTAAACTCAACTATCAATATGTACATAAAATATCACACACGTCATATGACTCTATTTTAGATTCACCAATACTTGATCACCACGCACAACATCATTCAAACGCTGGGTGTCAAACACCTCTGTTCCAGCGTCAGGAATGCCCCGTTGTTGCTGCTGTTGTTCAGCTAGTTGGCTGATGAGCAGACCTTGTGATCGCAGTTCCAGGCTGTGCTGCAGCTCGTAGGTGAATGATCCTTTGCCAGTGGATTGGCCGAATAACACGATCACGTGACTGTCGTCCAATCGGGCGACGATGACTCGTGACCGGTCCTTGATGTTCGTGCCGGTGAATGTTTTCTCAATGCCCTGTGGATCACCGGATGTTTTGTCATTCATTTCACTTCTTCAATTATAGTTATTCGGAATGGGACGTTCTAATGCAGCGGTTCTCAACCTGTGGGTCGCGCTCCCTTTCGGGTCGAATGACCCTTTCCCAGGGGTCGCATAAGTCCATCTGAAAACACATATCCTCTATAGTTCTAACGTAGCAACGAAAATAATTTTGTGACTGGGGGTCGCCACAACATCATGAACTGTATTAAAGGGTCGCGGCATTAGGAAGGTTGAGAACCACTGTTCTAATGTATCAATTAACCATTTGATATTTTAAATTATATTTCTGGTGCAATGTGTGTCAACACTGCGTCAAATAATTGTATGTACCCGGAATTTCATTTACAAAATAGAACATCTCCATTTTGTCCATAAATCAAAAGATTAACTGATAGTTTTTTTGTTTTTTTTTTAAATCATGGAATCTTACTTTACTTAATTAATTTCATAATACACAAGATTTTGAGATTTGATTAAAAGAAATACTAAGAACTAAATATGTATTGAAAAATGGGGGATTGGGGGTGAGAGAATGATGTCAAACATGCAACACATTGACAAAAATGAACAATAACCAACAACTTTGTTATGTTTTTAACGAACAACTATAAAATCAAACTTTATTCTCTTCCATTGAAATAAATTAATAAAAATCACGCTTTGTGGTAGCAACAACATAATTACCGGTACAAACAACTGTTTGAAGTATTAAAATCTTTGAAGTATTTACCTGAACGCATATGAAAAAATCATTGTCAATGAATAACTTGGTCATTATCTTTGCTGGATCTAACAAGCAGTTGACCAGAGCCATGCCTTCAGATTGGTTGGTCTAAATGGAAAGGCATCAAATTG